TCACATGGAGTTCAAAAAAGCAATCCATGGTTATTTTGTCAACATTTGAAGCTGAATATGTAGCTATTACATCATGTGTTTATCATTTCATTTAGCTAAGAAGATTATTAAAAGAACTATGAATGCCACAAGAGAGGTTTATTGAAATTTTTATTGAAATTTATGTGGACAACTTATTAGTCATTACATTAATAAAGAATCTAGTATTTCATGATAGATAATATTCTTATTTTTATTTTATAGTTATATATCTATAATGAAATTATATAGACATGTATAAATTTTTATTTGAATTATGTATTTTAAGGTGTTTGGATATTTGTATTGTTTATTTCACATTTATTTTAATTGTGTTATATTATTATTTATTATTTAACTGGATCTTGCAATTTAGTTAAAACATCTTACTTGTGATTTTACGATTTTATTTAAAACATTTTACTTGTGATTTTATAATTTTTTATTAAAATATTTTACTTATAATTTTATAATTCAAGTTTATATTGTATATTTTATATCATATAAAAAAAAACATTTTTAACTACCTTCTATACATCTATCCGAATAGCACATGAACAAAGAAAAATAAAATGATAGATTGGAACATTGGTCCTCATGTGAAGCTTCGCAGAGGTATGCTACAATCTCGTGTAACCTCCAGTCCAATGAAAATAATCTGGACTTTTTCTTTCTTGTTTCGCAGTATCTTCAGCAAGTCAACAGGACACGGCTTCTTTTGTAGTGATTTGGATTTTGAGTACATAAATAATGTAATTTTTCATAACAGTCGATTTGGAACATGTATATGCGTTTGGATTCCCCCTTTTATACACTGACGATGAGAAAATATTTTTCTTGCCTCTTGGCGTGCGTGATTTGATTGTTTTTGGTAGAACGAAGTTGTGTTTTTGCGTTCCTTTTCCTTTTACCTGGGCCAACTATCTTTTTTTCTTTTTTATCTTGTTGCCCTAGTCAAGTTGTCCTAACAAATTCAAACATATATGTTATTTTCTAAAATAAATTTATGCACTGTGATATAATTTAGAGAAATGAATAAAAGCACACATAACTAAACCTAATTAGAGCATGAACCTAGCAAACAAAGTTTGATTTCTGTTTCCTTTTCTCTTGTTAATGGCATGTAGCTTTTTACAAAGAAAGAATTAAATGTTAGGTTGGTTGTCATTTCATGTGCAACAAATAGATGGTATTAACCATTGACTATTGACAGTCATCATTGTTGAATGAGTTGAAGTTGGAGTTGGAGTTGGTAGTTACCAATATTGACAACAAAGCAAGAACAGCCTCCATGAATGCCTATAAATAAAGGTATATGTGAGAGAGCAAAATAAGAGAGAGAGAAAAGCCAAAAATATGAGAAGTGTAGGAGAGAGTGGGCTGTCAAGACAACCAGTAATAGCTGTCATTGCAGCACTGAAAAAAAAAGAAATAGAGTGAGATTGAGAGTTGTCAAAGAGAGGATAATTCATCCTTCTCTATTGTTGTAAATCATATATTCTCCCTATATAATGTAATGGCTTTTCTCGTAGCTGTAGGCGGTTTGCCAAACCACGTAAAATACCATGTCTCAGTATATTTTCTCTCCTATAAACAAATATCAGTATATCATCGGTCAGAATTTCCAACATTATGAACACAATTTAAGTATAATGCATGTGCAATTTAATCATAGATAAGCGATTTGATGTAAAACTGTGATGGTAGTGAAGCTAACCAAGGGAATTCTCCTCGCTTGCTTCAAAATATATAATTAAGAGCTTCTTAGCAAAAATCTTATATATTTTCATTGCAGCCTAGAGACAAACTTGATCAAACATGGACGAACAAGCTCATTAACTCTCCCATCACGCCCACGCAGTTTTTGCATAGACTGCATGTTCTTCATCAAGTCTTGAGAGCATATTAACCCGATTATTATGTTTTTCTGCCAGTTCTAGATTTCCAAATTCAACATGTTACCACATGCCTATTCATATTAGTTGTGAATGCGATGTCAATAGAGAGATTATTGCTAGAGGTGAGCATATTAACCCGTTTATCTTGAATATTTCTAAACGTTGAGCTAAAATTGACCGAACAAAATGGTTTTCTAATTTTTTATGATAATTACGGTTAGAAAATTAAAAAAAAATGATCTGCCAATATTTTTTAAAATGATACAATTTTTTTTTTTAAATGGCTTAATTCGTGCTTTTAGCCAAGTCAACTCTAGTGTCGGGTCTTATAAATATACAATTGTCCTAATAACACATATGAACATTGAAAAATAAAATGAATTGGTCCCCATTTGAAGATCCACACAGGCGAGCTACAATCTCGTGTAACCTCGATTCACTGTGCCTCGAGCAAGACAACAGGAGAAATTGGTCCGTCACTCGAAGTTTCGCATAGCAAGACTTTTCCCGTCAACCACCCTCCTTTCAATGACGAGGGGGAGTTAACGGAAAATTAAGAAATAAGAGTCCAACTTGATGAGTTTAAAAATACTATGAGCAATAAACTAGCTTTAATTAAGATTCACTTGATAGAATCTAGTTTTCTGCTAATTGGGGGTGAGCACTCCATTTTAAAAGTGCTTTTAAATTATGTTAGAATAAAAAAACAGTTGGGGGTGAGCATTCAATTTTTATATTATTTTGATAAGTTGATATTAAAATATATTTTTAATATATTAAAAATAAAATTCACTTTAAAAAGCAACCCAACCATAATATAAGATTTTTCATGTGAGGTCAAAGAACATCTTCTAAACGTTAAACAACCAGACCGCTTGAAATGATGCTCACCCCTAATTATTATCGTGTATTTAGTGCAATGCTTGCTCGCTCACATCTAAATAAAACGGAATAAGTAGATCCCACATGTTTGTGAGTGGAGCAATGTCAAAGGGAGTGTGGAGATGATGAATTATTCATCAGAAATGGTTACGTGTTTGTTCTTCTTTTTCATTGTCTTCCTTGCAGGCCATGGAGCAAGCTTGAACTGCGCAGGATCATGTGGAAACCGTGGCCCTGACATCCGATTTCCTTTCCGGATCAAGGACAAACAACCAGACCACTGTGGATATCATGGGTTTGATCTATCCTGCTCAGAGGACAACAGCACAGTGCTTAAGCTGCCAACTGGATTGAGTCTCCACATCGAAAGAATTGACTATATATATCAACTTATTTATGCAAGGGTTCCTCAAGGTTGCTTTCTAAGGCAACGACGTTTAAACTTCAGTTTAGGGGCTTCTCACTTCCAAATTGAGAGCTATTCGTTGTGTGATTATACCTTGTTCAATTGCTCACTTTCTAGTGATAGTAGGTCTTCCATGTATAAAATCCCATGTCTGAGTACTCATAAGCATGAAGTTTACGCCGTTGGATCAAGTATTTCCATCAGTGACTCTGATTTGTTATCTTGTACCAAGATGTACAACATATATGGAATTCCACATGGTATGGTGCAGGAAGAATATCTTCTTCCTATATCTTGGTCCTATCCAACTTGTGGATCTTCTGAAACTAAATGCTACAGCAATCCTCCGCACACTAAAGGTACGCCTTTCTATCTTTCTTCCTTTTTTTCATATTAAACTCTTTTCGTTTTTGTTGCTTTCATGATTTTACCAATTGCTTTAAAGAGAGAAGCTAATAAGTATTCAATCCCTTACAGATGTGCGGCGAAAGCTACTGATTACTGGTTAGTAGTCTGCTCAAATCTCCATCTCAATTTTACACTTGGTTCAATACATTACTTCCCACCAAAAAAAAATGGTTTCCTGACTCAGAAAGTTGATATGCAGGTGTGATTTTAGGATTACTTCTTTTTGCTGTAGTGATTACTGCACTCTACCGCGCCTATAGCAACGATAAAACACAAAGAGAATATCAAGCCAGGGTTGAAATGTTTTTGGATGATTACAGATCACTGAACCCCACTAGGTACTCCTATGCTGATCTCAAGAGGATCACAAATCAATTCGGTGATGAATTGGGTCAGGGAGCTTATGGAACCGTGTTCAAAGGAAAGCTAACCAATGAAATTACTGTAGCTGTGAAGCTCCTAAATAATTCCATAGGAAAAGGGGAGGAATTCATCAATGAAGTGGGAACAATGGCAAGTATCCACCATGTTAATGTTGTTCGCTTGATCGGTTTCTGTGCTGATGGATTTAGACGAGCTCTAGTTTACGAGTACTTGCCAAATGATTCATTACAGAAGTTCATATCCTCAGCAGACTCAAGGAACCATTTCCTTGGCTGGGAAAGGTTGAATCGTGTTGCTCTAGGCATAGCCGAAGGGATTGAATATCTTCACCAGGGGTGTGATCAAAGAATCCTCCATTTTGATATCAAACCACAGAATATCCTGCTTGACAATGAATTCAATCCCAAAATCGCCGATTTTGGGATGGCTAAGCTGTGTTCCAAGGATAAAAGTGCCATATCCATGACGACTGCTAGGGGGACTGTTGGCTACATTGCCCCAGAAGTGTTCTCGAGGAACTTCGGGAATGTTTCCTATAAATCAGACGTTTACAGCTTTGGGATGTTGGTGTTGGAAATGGTTGGAGGAAGGAAGAACGTCGATGATACAGCAGAAAATGGCGACCAGATATACTTCCCGGAATGGATTTATAATCTCTTAGAAAAGGAAGAAGACCTGCGGTTTCATATCGATGGAGAAGAAGATGCTAGAATTGCGAAGAAACTAGCAATTGTGGGGCTATGGTGCATTCAGTGGAACCCAGCAGAGCGTCCTTCCATGAAAACTGTTGTCCAAATGCTTGAAGGGGAAGGAGAAAACTTAACAAAGCCTCCCGATCCTTTCAGCTCCTCTGTCCCTAAGAGAACAAGTGCAGGCCGCATGCCAGCGAGACGTCTTCACCAAGAGTTGGCAGCCATCTCAGAAATCGAGTGATCAGAAATTTACACTTTTCAGTAATAACATATTAGTGAGCAATAATGAAGGAAATTGTTGTGACCAGTTAGGTTCATGGATTATGTGTAAACTTATTGGTTTAGTACTAGCTTCTTCTTCTTCTTCTTCTTCTTCTTCTTCTTTTCTGTCAATTCACCTTCTAAGTTCTTAGTTACTAATGCAGTGCCAATTCACAGTTTGAGATGTATCAAATCAACAAATTAAACTGCGTAAATATCTTTGCAAATCCAACCCTTTATTCATCATATTTAGGCAATCCAGTCTAACTTACTTCAAATGCGAAGAAAATCAATGTAGCACATAATTTGGAAGGAATTGCAGGGAGGATAGAAGGATTTTGATGGATAGGATAGTAATCTCAAGGGTCTATTTCTATCAAGTTCCTTTGTTGTTGATCGACAACGAGATGAATAGGTTGGCATTCATCCTTCTTCTTTCATCTCTTCCCTTTGCCATTTCTACCCTATAATACGTACATCTTTCATGCCATGATAGATTGTTACAAGGCACATACTTCTCGACCAGAAGAAATAACCAAGAACCCTACAATTCTTCATCTTTGGCCAGAGGGCGCACGGAGGAAAAGTCTTGCTATGAAAGAAATTAAAGGTAGTGGACCACAGAAAAGAAGAGCTCATATTTTTGTCGCTGAACCTCAGGTTGGTTCCAACAAACTTTCTTGAAAGCGATTAAAATTTTAAATAAAAGTATCAAATAAGAAAATAAAAAATTAATTGAATGAAAAATGAAATAAAAAACCTATAAAAAATTATATGGCCACCAAAAAATCTTGCCTAGCAACCAAGAACCCTACAATTCTTTATCATTGACCTGAGTGCGCATGGGAGGGGGGAGTCTTCGCCATGAAAGAAACCAAGAGTGTGGACCAGTGTTTCAATCAGTAACTTCATTGTTAATGTCACAAAACACTCAAATATAAAATAATTGAACAATGTGTCAAGCTTTAAATGAGTATGTGACATGGAATGGCATAGCGTTATATGTTTATAGGGAAGACTAGTTAGGAGGTCGTGCCAAGTCACGAGCCAATTATTTTTAGCATAAAAATATTTATAAAAAAATTGAGTATTTTTTTAAAAATAATATATAGGTAATTTGCCCTAATAAATTAGTTAATTTAATAATGTTAACAACAAATAAAATAAGAAGAAAATAATAATTCAATGCAAAAGATGAATCTTTGTTAATATTATGGAACTATATCTTCATAATATTTTCAAAACATCTCAATAATTTTATTTGTTAATAAAATAAAAAATTAAATGAGAATAATATAATTATGTAGAAAGAAAAAAATAAATAAAAAAATAAGATAAAAAAATTTATTATTATTAATTTTTTAAACAGTAACTTAGATTGCAGGAAGGAACGAGAACATTACACATAAAAAAATAAATTCATTAAAAATAACATAAGATCAAAAATAAAAGAACTTAATAAGTGTTAAAATTACAATAAAATGTTAAAAAAAAAAAAAAAAACAAAGGCAAAAGATCATTATAAATTTAAATTGAAAGGTGAAACTACGAACAATCAAACTGTGTAAATAATTTTGCAAATCTAGCCCTTTATTCATCATATTTAGGCAATCCAGTCTAACTTACTTCAATTGCAAAGAAAATCAATGTAACACATAATTTTGAAGGAATTGCAGGGAGGATAGAAGGATTTTGTTCATAGTTAAGACCAGGTAGGTTAGGTGACTTGTGATCTATTTTTTCTTAGAATTAAAATATTAGAAGGAGATAAATATTTTTAAAAAATTAAAAAAATATATACAATATATATAATATGATATATATATATATATATATATATATCTCGAATCATTAAATAAATATTTAGAAAAATCGAAGCTTATTCTTCAGCTTCACCGATTTACAAACTCTCTATATTTTTCGTTGTCCTCTCTTTCTTATAAATTACTCTTTGACTTAAGAATAAAAGGACCCTCTATTCCGATATAAAACTTGTTTTACATGCAAGTTTATGGAAGTCATCCATCAACCCAAACACTGGTGGCCAAGCCCGTCACTCCACCAATCCAAAATCGTGGTCTCAATTCAATTCTAAAATTTTCATAACTTTATTAATGATATTATTTATTATTATTAATGTGGCGAACTACTATACCTTTGCTAGGCCTTTTAACTTTCCTTATTATTAATATAATAATAATAATAATCTATTATATTATAACACATGTTAAAAATATTCTAACTGTCTTTCTTTTCTTTTTTAGTTTTTTTTTAATGAATTTTTTAAATTTTAGTTTATTAATGTTAAATTTTTTTTATTTTTTATTAGATTTTCACGACATGAATCCCGGGTTTAATAGGTTAACCTGGTTTGACAAATTGACTTGAATTTTTTATTTTTAATTAATTTTTTTCATTTAGTTTTGTTTTTTAATTTTAAATTTCTTTTTATTTAATTATCAGATTTTTATGATATGTATCCCAGACTTGACGGGTTAACCTAATTAATTATGGGCAAACCCGTTAATTTTTTTATTTAGTTATTAAATTTTCATGACACAGATCCTGGGTTTGATGGGTTAACCTGGTTTGATGGGTTAACCTGGTTTGACGGGTTACCCAATTAATTATCGGTAACCCGTTAATTTTTTTTCTATTTAATTATCAAACTTTCACGACGCAAATCAAAGGTTAAACAAATTAACCTGCTTTGAAGGGTCAATCCAATTCATTTAGATTTTTGTTCCTTTTCTTTATTAATTTTTTAAAGAAAAACTTATGGATTACTCCAATATTTTTCTACATGGCTTTTTTTCTTCATTTTTTATGAATTTGTTCCTTTTATTTTTTCAAAATAGTTTTTGTCGATTTTGCTTTATAGTTTTTTCTTTAAAACAATGTATATTGTTACAATGTTTCCTCGTATTATTTTTATTTTGTTACACGGTTTCCCAGCATGTTTTTTAAATTAATTATCTTTGTCAAAAAAAATTTAATGCTGAGCTGATTGAGAATTTAGGTTTAACTTTCCCCAAATGTTTTTTATTTATTTTTTTCATTTTTTATTGCTTTTTTTTCAAAATTCTTTTTTAAAAAAAAATTGTTTTTGTTGATATTATTTTTTGAATATGGAGCTGGTTGAGAATTTAAAACATTGTGAATTGCTATAATATTTTCCTATATGGTTTTTTTCTTTTTTTATGATTTCTTTTCAGAATAGTCTTTATCAATTCTATTTTTTTATATTAAGCTGAATGAAAATTTAGTTTCATAGTTTTTCTCTTAAAAATACTATGGATCACTACAGTGTTCCCCTACATGATTTTTTAAAAAATTATCTTTATTGATTTTATTATTTTTACTATTGAATTTGTTGAGAATTACAATTGTATATTTACTCATAAAACACTATTGATTATTATAGTGTTTCCCTGCATTTTTTTTCCTTTTAGTTTTTTTTTTTTTCCAAAATTTATTCATTTGATTTTTTAAATATATAAGAATTCAGCTTTGTAGCCTTTTCTTTTAAAATATTATGGATTACAATAATTTTTCTACATATAATTTTTTATTTTTTCCACAAACCGACAACACACCAGCATGTCACAAGCCTGTGGCATTGCGCAGACATAGCATTTAGAAAAAGAATGAATGAAGAAAAAGAAAAGGACCTTACAACCAGACTCATATCCAAGACTATTAGGTTTGGTATTGCAATCAAACCCACTTAAATATAGGTCATATAAGTTTAATGTTATTATTAATATTATAAATATTACTTTTAGATCAGGTGTTGCAGTCAAACCTAAGATTCTTGAGTAAAGTTTTGCAGAAAGACTTAACATTTTTAGATCTTAACTTTTTTTAAAAAAAATTATATAAAAAAATTAACCCGCAACATCGCGTTGGTCATGGAACTAGTACAATAATCTAAATGGTATAGGGGCATCATTGTCCCCTCCCCCACACTAAAATCACTGTGGATTACAACAGTAATCAACAGTGCTTTCCTTTTCTTTCTTTCTTTTTTCTCTTTTTTTCCAAAATCACTTCCCTTTTTTTTAACTTTTCTTTTTTTTTTTCTTATTTATTTTTTTTCAAAAAAAATTTGTTGATTCTACTTTTTAAATATTGAACTTGTTATAAATTTTACTTTTTAAATGTTGCAATGTTTTCCCATATGATTTTTTTAAAATTATCTTTGTTGATTTTTTTTTAATATTGAATTGGTTAAGAATTATAATTACAATAAAGTTAAATCGTATGAGAAAAGTGTTGTAGTTTTTCTCACAAAATACTGTGGATTGCTACAGTATTTTGCTAAATGGTTTTATTGGAGAAAACACTGTAGTTTTCCTTACAAAACATTATCAATTGCTACAACGTTTTTCCTCATGGATTTTTTTCCTTTCAAAATTATCTTGTTAGTTTTTTTAATATTAAGTTGGTAGAGAATATAGCTTTAGAATTTTTTTTTTCTTTTTATTAATAGAAAAGTTAAATCATGTGACGAAAGCACTATATTTTTCATCACAAAACATTATGGATTGCTACAAATCATTTTATTCGGTCTCTAAGTTCTTTTATCACTAATACAATATTTTTTTCTGTCATGAAATATTTGTTCTATCATACATTTAGTTTTTATTACTTATCTGGCGCTGGTTCACAATTATAACATTATCAAATACATTTATTTTATAAGCCCGTGGTAACGTGCAGGCATATCATCTCGTACAATACTCTAAATGGTGTGGGGGAATCATTGTTCCCCCACACTATGGATTACAAGTAATCCACGGTGAAATGGTTTTCTTTTATTTTTTATTTTTTATTTTTTCCCCAACTTTCCCCTTATTTTGTTTTTTTATTTTTTTTCCAAAATTACTTTCCTTTTCTTCATTTATTTTTTTTAAAATTATTTTTGTTGATTTTACTTTTTATAATCATAAAGCTAAAATATTCTCATAGGAACCAATTGACTCAATATTGAATAATAAAATTAAAAAAATTAATTAAATACAAGACGTTAAAAACAATCCGAGTCAACTCAAATTAACATGTTAAGCACTATTATCGAGTCATAAAATCAGGATAACCTAATGAAAAGTAAATAAAACAAATTATGAAGTGTAATTACCAATCAAATCAATATGAAAAGATAAAATTAGAGAAAAAAACTGAGTCAACCAAGTTAACCAACCAAACTAGGTGA